CATGGAGTAGTTCTCCCTGCTGCCCAAAATACCAGCGTTTCCTCCTTTTCCTGTGCCAGCTCCAGCCCCCACCAGCTGCCACAGGCTGGGGCTTCACTCCAGCACTTGCTCCTTGTCCATCAGCTCCCAGAAATGTCACCAGGTCTGTCCCACCCGCAGTGTTTCCTCTGCTGTTCACAGCCAGCCCCTCTCTTGCTGACTAAGGAATTTTCTCACTTCTCCTGAGCTCTGCTCAGTTCCCTTTCCTGGCAGCAGCATTTCCCTGCTCCATCCATCCATCCATCCATCCATCCATCCATCCATCCATCCATCCATCCATCCATCCCTGTTGCTTGCAGGTGGCCATTCCCAGCTCCTGGTGAAGCAAGTTTTACTGTCCACCTCCAAAATTTGGGGATGCTCTGGTTGGTAATGCCTGGGTTAGTGTGGAGGGAGTAAAGAGCTGCCCTGGAATGTCCCTTGGAAATAAATGTTCAGGACAGGGGTGCAGCTGCTCCTCATGGAATACTCAGCGTGAGGAGCAGGTCTGTGGTGCTGGGCAGAGCATGAGTGCAGATGGAGGATCTGGGCTTGTTGGGCCTTCTTTTGCCAGAAGTTACAGATAATAAATAGCAAACAAGCTCTGGTTTGCTCCAGGAGGTCTCAGCTCCAGGGAGCTGCTGGGGTTTCCACTCAGGATGTGTGTTTGAGGCATGGGGCCATTGCAGGGGCTCTTGCTCCTTGTTTTGCAACATCTTCCCCTTCAAAAAGTTCATTTTTCTCACCAGAGGTGTCTGTGTCCCTGGAGCCACTCTGGCTCTGCCCGTTTCCTCCAGCTGCTCCTTACACTGCAAACTCTCACAGCTTTCAGGGGAACTCTGCAAAAAATCTGTGTTTTTCTCAGTTTTCACTCCTGTCCAAGAAGCAGTGAAGTACAGAGGGGAAAAAGCATCAGAAAGGTATTTATGGTGTATGAAACCCCAAACCGGGGAAGCTGTGGTTTGGGATCTCTTCCCTTCAGGCTTCTCTTGGCAGGTGTTTGTCCATAGAGCCAAGCACTGCCTGCAGCCTGTGGAAGGGCAGATTCCTGCTGGAATTTGGCTCTTCTTCCTTCCTTCAGCACTTTAACTCCCACCCAGGGGCTGGAGCTGCTTGAGGCAGGAAGAGTTTGCCTGCCAGACACAGAGGAGGTGGTGCTAAGATAGAGAGTGGACACAGGACAAGGCTTTCCTGCAGCACAGCCACATTTGTCCCTGGCAGGCCAGTAGGGTGGGTGTCCAGCACCTGCCTCCATCCAGAACACAGGGGAGTGGATGGATGGATGGATGGATGGATGGATGGATGGATGGATGGATGGATGGATGGGAGAGCTGGAGGTGCTCACCTGGAGAGGAGAAGGCTCCAGGGAGAGCTCAGAGCCCTTGCAGGGCCTGAAGGGGCTCCAGGAGAGCTGGAGAGGGTCTGGGGACAAGGGATGGAGGGACAGCACACAGGGAATGGCTTCAAATTGACAGAATAGGTTTAGATTCTACATTGGGAAGGAATTGCTCCCTGTGAGGGTGGGCAGGCCCTGGCCCAGGGTGCCCAGAGCAGCTGTGGCTGCCCCATCCTCAGGCAGTGACACGAGAGCCCCCGTCTCTGGTGCGGTGCTGCCAGGTGAGCTCCAGCTCCTTCCCCACATGCTGCAGGGTTGGAGCAGGAGAGGATCCCTCCAGGAAGGGCTCCAGCCCTGGCAGGGGGTGCCAGGGAGAGGCAGGGACCCCTCAGCACACACTAGGGGAGCAGGGTTCCATCACTCCCGAAGCAGGGGAGTACCAGGGCAGGGCTGGAGCCTCTCCCTCATTGCCTGTGCTTGCAGGTCATGTATTTCAACACCAGTTTTCCTCTTTCCTCTAATTTTTAACCTCCAGCAATGTTTTCCTATTCAAATTTCTTGTAAGATTTCTGTCATCTGTGGCCCATTTCTCATTACACAGAGTCACTGAGCTGGGCCCATCTCATTTCACTTTCTTTTTGCCACATGGTGCAAGGCAGAAACAGCTCTTGGGCACATCCCTGCATCCCTTTTTGTTCCCTTTTTCCATGCTATGTATCTACTGCCTTTCCCTTCTGCTGTGTTACAGAGCATCTCTGCACCCACATTTTCCGAGCCAGCTTCCCCTTCACCCCAGGCACATAAATACACAAATTACCCCCCTCATAAATACACATCCTGACACCCTTCCAGCCTCCCTGCCAGGGAGGCAGAATTATTCAGCAGAAGGAAGACAGATTCTGGAATATTTGCTGGCATTTCCAGTGCCCTGCTGGGGTTTAATTTGCTGTGTTACATTGGCTGTTATTTACTCACGCTCTGCTGAGCCCAGCGTGTGCCTCTCCTTGCTCGGCCAAGGGGACCAGCTGTGATGAGGGCTTTGGGTGGAGAAACGGCCTCGGGAATGGGACAGGGTGCTGAGCACCCAGCCCAGACCCTGCTGGCACAGCCTGGAGCCTGGTGCAGCTCCCAGAGGGGTTTGGGGCATTTCTGCTGCCCTGGTGTCAAAGCAGAGGCAGCCTGGGGACAAGTGGAGCATCTTAATCAGTGCTGCAAATGCTCTGGGAGATTGTCTCGGATATAGGCAGTGACAGGACACGGGAAAGGCTTCCCACTGCCTGAGGGCAGGGTTAGGTGGGATGTGGGCAGGGAGTTCCTCTCTGTGGCTGCCCCTGGATCCCTGGAAATGTCCTAGGCCAGGCTGGACAGGGCTTGGAGCAGCCTGGGACAGTGGAAGGTGTCCCTGCCATGGCAGGGGTGGCACTGGGTGAGTTTTAAGGTCTCTCCCAACCTAAGGGATGCTCTGCACAGATGGGGGTTATTCCCCAGCCTGCAGCTCCCTGCAGTCACTGTCCCCTGGGAGCAGGGAGGAGGTGCCAGGCAGGTGAGGCTGGCATTCCTGGCAGAATTTTACTGGCATCACTTGGTGTGAAGCTGAGCTCAGCTCCCCATGCCTGCTGCACCCAGGGATTGCCATGCCTGGCCTCTCTGAGGGATGCACCCAGGACAGAAGTGGAGGAAAACTGGGATTTGAGGACAGTTCCTGCACCTGTATCTGAAGGAACAACAGCAGCTGATGGATCTGCAACACTCTGAACAACCAACCATCCATCCATCCATCCTGTTTTTTTCTGTTTACTTTTTTTTTTTAATCAGTTAAGTCTTATCTCCCTGTTTATTTTATGTTCTCTCAGCAGGATCAAAGTACTTTTCTGTTTAGTTTCATTCCTAAGGGAGAGTTGTGGATGGGCAGGATCTGAGGGCAGGGGTTTGACCTGCTGGCAAGCCCTGGTGTTTGAGATCTCTGCTGAGCACTGCCTGGGAGTCAGCTGCCCTCCCTCTCTCCTCCACATATTTAAAGGAGAGCTGGAAAGGATGACAGAGGTCATTCTGGATTTGTGGTTTGCAGCTCTAATGAGGGACAAAGACATGAGCACAGTTAACCAGGACATGGAGCCTGCTTCCAGCTCCATGAACACTCCCATCCCTGGAAATCCAGGCTCCTTTGGGTTTCCTGCCTGTGGTGTTCCACCCTTTTCCTGCCCCCTGAGCACCCCAGGGGCTGCAGCAACAAGCCCAGGGCTGTCAATAATTGATCAGGGCTGGAGCCCCAGCACTGCTGAGCCAAACCTCCAGGGGCCGGGGAGCTTTTCCTGCCTGCTTCCACTGAGGATCAAATCCGCCGTATTGATCCCAGCCTGGATTTGTTACAGCAATCTCTCTCAGAATGGGCCGAGGGCAGCAATTGCGTTCTGCAGAGGCTGCTGTGGCACTCAGAACTCGTGCAGGTCCCCTCTGGAATTCACCTCTCAGGGTTTATGAACACCACCACCGTGCAGGCAGGCTCCTCCTGCGAGAAGTTACATCAACCCCTGCATTTTGTTAATTAGTTTGAGGCTGCGGGTCCTCGCTCCTTTGCCTCTCATCACGGGGGAAAGAGAATTACACACAACAATAATGGGAAGCCTTTCACCCCATTTGCTGCGGAGATGAAAACATCTATTAGAATGTGCTGAACAACAAGTTAAAGCCTAATGGCTCCGGCGTGCCTCTGAACAATGCAGCTTCCTGAGCAGGAAGCCTGGCTGCTGAAACCCGACAAAGACATCGCGGGTCCCTGGGGAGGAGGGAGGCACTGACAGGAGGGAAGGAGACCTGCAGGCAGGGGCTGCTGGCTTCCCACGGGCTGGAATTCCATCGCAGAGTCACGTTTAGGTGGTGGCTGGGGGCCCGAAAGCGAGAGTGGAGGAGTTCTTCCAGGGGAGATGCAGGAACACCGCGGTGACAATGGGATGCACAGGGATGCAGGGCTTTCATCCAGCAGTGCCCAGCACAGGGAGGGATGGGAAGGGCTTGCTGAGCAAGGAGCTGCTGCCCCTGAGATCTGGACAGATCCCTCCAGAGGGATGCAGAGAGTCCTGGGCAGGGCAGGACCGGGACTTTGCATCCCCTTGAACTTCTGGGGTTCTGCAGCCCACTGAGATCCCTCTCAGAGCCCATTTCTGCAGCCTGTGGGATCCCTGTGGAAACCCATTTCTGCAGCTCCCTGCTGCCCTTCGATTCCCACTTCTCCAGGCAGCTGAGAAGATGCCTCTGGATGGCAGCACAGCCATCAGCTTTGCCAGCTGCCCTGCTGGGAAGCTGCCAGTGTTTGCTGCTGGCAGCTGGCTGAGGGTGCCCCATCACCCAGGCCATTGATAAGGAGTCACACCGACCCCAGAAATGTTGCACAATGTAGTCCTTGGCTCTGCTGAGCAGCGTTTCACCTCCCGGGCCTCTGGGGTTTTACATTTTGCAGGCTGCTTCGTCGCTTTGCAGAATCAAAGTGCCCCGAGCAAAGGAAAGCCAGGAACAATCAGTGACTGCTGGGGAGACCTGTGTGCCCACTGTGGGGGTGTTTGGCAGGGCTTTGCCTGCTGAGCAGGGGGGAATTGAGGCCCAGCCAGGAGCATTGTGCTGAATGATTTATCCCTGACAGGCTGACAGAATGACGGGGAGCAGCCAGCCGGACGTGGCCCGGAGCAGGCTCTGCAGGAGCCCCTTTCTCAGCATCAAGGTAAACACCCCCTGCCTCCCCCAGCATCCCCTGGCCTGGGGAGCAGCAGCTCAGCCTCCTGCAGAAAGCACTGGCAGGATTTATGGGCACCAGGTGGGGTTGGGAAATGCCCCCTATGCTTCCCAGGGCACAGGTGCCTCTGGTGTGGAGCTGTCTCCATTCCAGAGCCAGTGGTGGGGCAGTGATGTTTCTGTGCAGGTTTAACTCCCAGCTCCTCCAGAGAATCACGGGATGGGATGGGATGGGATGGGATGGGATGGGATGGGATGGGATGGGATGGGATGGCATGGCATGGCATGGCATGGCATGGGATGGCATGGGATGGCATGGGATGGGATGGCATGGGATGGGATGGCATGGGATGGGATGGGATGGGATGGGATGGGATGGGATGGGATGGGATGGGATGGCATGGCATGGCATGGGATGGCATGGCATGGGATGGGATGGCATGGGATGGGATGGCATGGGATGGGATGGCATGGGATGGGATGGGATGGAGGGACCTTAAAGCCCATCCAGTGCCAGCCCTGCCATGGGACACTTTCCACCATCCCAGGGACACCTTCCACCATCTCAGGCTGCTCCAAGCCCTCTCCAGCCTGGCCTTGGACTCTTCCAGGAGCAGCCACAGCTGCTCTGGGCACCCTGTGCAGGGAACAACTCATTCCCAAGAACCCATCTAGCCCTGGCTTTGTCAGTGTGAAGCCTTTCTTCTAAGTCTTGGGTCCTCCTGGATTTGGTGCAAGCCCAGGCTCACCATGTGGGGGTTTGAGGAGCTCTGCAGAGCCACCTGGAATGTTTCCCTGTGTCTTGCAACATCTGCTGCATTCCCTTCTGGCTCGATAATTCCCTCTTATCAGTAGTGGCAGCCCTATCACCAGTGCATTACAACATTCAGGGTAGTTGGAAGCCAATTACCTGGCTCATTAGGGAGTCTCACCAGGCCAGAGAGCACAACATGACAGTTGGTCTTGAAGGCTCAAGACTTCTCTATCCCTTTTGTGGGCAATATTTGGGGTTTTGAGGGTTTTTCTACAAATGCTGGTGCATTTACTCACCCTCCTTGGTGTGGCAGGAGCAAAGTGAGTCACTGAGGCAGAGGCCAGCAGGGCCTGCACAGAGGCTGGAGACACAGAGCCAAGGCCTGAGGCTCTTGCCCAGTCCTCTTTCAGCCCATTCAGCTGCTTTTTATCTGGTGGGCTTTGCTTGGTTCTTCTTTACTCCCCAGCAAGGTTATCTCTAGAAATATGGCCCTGCTGATTTTCCCATGAGGAGATATTTCCAAGGGTTCAAAGATTGAACCACTGAGGGGCAAAGCCAGCAGAATCAAGCTGTATTTTTCTGTATCTGTGAAGGTAGAGCCTAAAATCCCAGACTGGATTGGGTTGGGGGGGACCTTAAAGACCCTCTTGTTGCAAGCCCTGCCACGGGCAGATGTGGAGGAAGCTCTTGTCCCCAAGAACACAATTATCCTCACCACAGGCTGTTTTCCCCTGCTCTCCTGGGGTTTTGTTTTTCAAGAAGTTGGCCACCCTGTCCGGTTTCTAAATGAAACCAGTTTCTTTCCGGTTGGAATGGCTCTTGCAGAGACTCAGAACCATTGCACAATGTGGTTGGATGTGTTTGAAGTGGCTGGAGGACCAAAAATCACAGCACTGCAGTTTTTATGGGTATTTATATCTCCAGAGAGCGTGTCACAAAAACCATGGACCACGTGTCCAAATGCAACTGAGGGACAAAACTAAAACCTGCCCTGCTTGGCTTCAAGGAGCATTGTGATTTAGATGGGATAATTGGGAAGGAACTGTTCCCTGGGAGGCTGGGGAGGCCCCTGGATGCCTGGCAGTGCCCGAGGCCAGGCTGGATGGGACTGGCAGCCACCTGGCACAGTGGGAGGAGTCCCTGCCATGGCATGGCTGGCACTGGATGGGCTTTAAGCCCCCTCCCAGCCACAGGCCCAGCCAAACTGGTCCCAGCTGTTTCCTCCCAGAGCCATTTGCCATGAGCTCAGCCCAGTGTGCCTCTGCCACGTGCTGAGGCACAAACCCTCTCTGAAAAAAGCCCCAGAACCTCCCAGGCACGAGGAGGGAGCGTGGTGGGGACGTGCTGCTGTCAGCTGGGAGCCCTCAGGGGCAGAGTTGGCTGCCAAGCTGCTCCATCCACCCTGCAAACACAGGCAGCCCTTGGAAAAGGGCTTTTTCCACTCCACCAGGAGAGGAATTACTGGTGTTGAATTCCCAGGTCTGTGATTTACTGGCTGCCTAGGATGGAGGGTGTTTCCCTGTTCCCCTGCACTTGTGGGGTGGGAACAGCAATGCCTTGCCAGGGTTTGGGTTCTCTGAGCTGTTTAATTCCATGGATGTAAGGGAAGGCTTTACAAGCACAGCTCAGCCCTGGGGCTGCTCCTGGTGTCCGTGGTCTGTCCTGCTGCCAGGGAAAAGGCCTTGGGAAAAGCCTGGTGTCTGCCAGTCCAGGTCACCTGCTGGGCAGCACATCAGTCCCAGCAGTCCAGCAGATCCAAAGGCCAGGAAAAGCCTGCTCTTTCTTTTCCTGACAGAAAATTGATGGCTGAGAGCAAAGAGGCCCTGGAGACAGGACTGGGGTCCTTGCCCCAGCCACTGCAGGTCCTCTGCAGGGCTATCTCTCCTAAAATACCAGATTCCCAAAGCATTTTGAGCTGCAGAGGATGTGGGGCAGCGCTGGGCAATTCCTGCAGTTCCAGGATCTGGATACTCACTCAGGGGGGCTGTGTGCTGTGGATGCCTGCAATGAGCAGATCTGGTTTCAGCCTTTCCCTGTGAAGTGATGTGCTCAGGAAGCAGAGCCTGGACACAGGCAGTGGCTGGGAGGAACGCAGGAGGTTCAGCAAAGCTGACTCTGGGGACGCCTTCCTTTGGCTGGGTGACACTTTCCCAGTCCAGACACGTTGCAGCCGTCAGTGGTGACACGAGCCTGGAAGGGGAGAGGTCCTGGATGCTGTCCTGGTGTGCAGTGACCTCAGCCCAGCCCTGCCATTCCCAGGGGTTTGACCTTCCCCCTTTCTGTGCTGGGGATGCTGCCTTGGCTGACAGAGCAGCCCAGTTTGGCAGTGACCTCACTTGAGGCCTGGATCAGAACGAGATACAGCAGAAATCCAGGCCAGGCTCAGCAGTTTCTCTCCGGTGGGAGCTGCTGCAAAACACACGGAGCAGGAGCAGTGCCCGAGGGTTTGGGCACAGCCCAGGGTGAGGGCAGCAGCTCTGGAAGGAGCCAGGGCATCCAGCCTGTCCCACAGGGAGATGGGTGGGCTGTGTCCCGAGGGTGTGTGACTGTTTGGGCTGGAAATCTGAGCTCCTCTGGGGGCTGGAGGGGTGCCTGGCAGAGCCACAAGGCAGCAGGAGGGAGGTGGCTCAGATGGAGGAGGGAGGATGGAGATGAGGGCAGATCATTTGACTTTGACCAGGTTTGCTTCTGGAAGTGGAAGAGAACCATCACATTTTCCAAAGGAGATGTGTTTTACGTCTAGGGATTTGTGAGAAGGAAAGGAAAGCAGCCTGAATTCTTGTCCCTGACCTGCTGGCTTGCTCTAGAGGAGTTGTTTGTTGGTGTGTTTGGAAGGGCTCATTGCTGTCCCAGAAGAGCTCCCAGCACTGGGGATGGCTGTCTGCCTCGGGCTGAATGGGAACAGGAGTGTTGTGCAACCTCCCTTCTGCTGCTGCATCCGAGGGACAGGGCCAACACAAACAGGGATCATCCCAGCTGAAGCCATGTGTTTGTCCAAAGCCACTTCTCAGCTAAGAAATTACAGCCTCCTCGCAGATACTGACCCTGCTGTGACTTTTGGCAGGGGCCAGGTCCACGGTTCTGACCTAATCTCAGGAGATTTCACTGCTGGCAGAGCAGGGGTGATATTTCCAGGGCTCGTGGTCAGAGGTTGAAGTTGGATAATGGTGCCTCTCTGAGGGGGATGCAGTTGGTTGTGCTGCAGCTCTGGGTGACCCTGCAGCTCCCAGTGACCCTACTGGGGGTTCCATTTCTCTGTTGGCAGTTCTTTGTGTTCTGCCACGGGCTGCTGCAGCTCTCCCAGCTCCTGGTCTCGGGCTACCTGAAGAGCTCCATCTCCACCATCGAGCGACGCTACGGCCTCTCCAGCCAGACCTCGGGGCTGCTGGCCTCCTTCAACGAGGTGAGCGGCGCCCCAGCCGCGTCCCCGTGCCCCTGAGCGCTGTCCCCGTGCTGCCCTGCCCGGGGACACAGCGCTGCTCTGTCCCCGCAGGTTGGGAACACGCTGCTGATCGTCTTTGTCAGCTACCTGGGCAGCCGCGTGCACCGGCCGCGCCTCATCGGCTGCGGGGCCCTGCTGGTGTCCCTGGCCGGCTTCCTCATGGCCCTGCCACACTTCCTCACGGGGCCCTACCAGTACGACCACTCCGTGGCCAGTGAGTGCTCAGAAACCCGCCCTGGGCCACCAGGAGCAAATAACAGAGTGACGGGATGGTCCACATGGAAACGACCATAAAGATTGTCCCGTTCCACCCTGCCATGGCAGGCACACCTTCCACCATCCCAGGGTGGCCTTGGACACTGCCAGGGATCCTGGGGCAGCCACAGCTTCTCTGAGCAGCCACTCTCACAGGGAGCAATTCCTTCCCACCTTCCCACCTATCCCTGCCCCCTGGCACTGGGAAGCTGTTGTGAAATGGCCTTCCCTCCAGGCACTGGGAGCTGCAAGCTGTTGCCTTCTCCTCAGGACATTTTATTTTTCTGAGAATTAAAACATCTCAGCCCTGAGAGGCAACAGCTACTGGTGCAAAGCAGAGCCAGGGGGATGTGGGAACCATGGGAAAGGGCAGGAAAACAGTCAAAATGCAGGCTGTGCCTCTGATTCCCCTTGTTTGCTGCACATCCAGCCTCTCCTGCCTTCCCTGGTCTAGCTGGGCTGTCTTTGAGGTTTTAAACCCCACTGTAATATCAGCCTCCCTTGAGATACATGCAGGTCTAAATCACTCATGTAGGGAACAGGACAGGGTGGGGTTGGGATTTTCTCCCTAAAGGAAAATGAAGGGATGGGAACAGAAAGAAAGGAGAAAACAAGCTACTTGCTACCTTCCCAGTCCCTGCCATGAAGCTCCAGCAAGCCTTCTAGAAACCTCCACTGAACAGCTTTTGTTTGGCTCACCAGAGGGAGAGCAGCTGGTTCAGGCAACTGCAGACACCAAAGGAAGGCTGAATAGGTGAACCATTGCTCGCTACAAGCAGGGGCCGGCTGCAAACCCCAGCTTGGAAACACTGAGTTGGTGTTTCAGCAGTGCTGTCCGAGCACTTGGAGTTCTCCAGGATGTGGGGCATAACCATGGAAATCCTGCTGTGAGCCCCAGCACCCCCTTGCCCGGGGTTCTGAGGAAGATGAGGGTGCTAGAATCAGCCCTTTCACCTAGGCAGCTCTTTTCAGGAAAACAAGCTCTCATTTCCTGGGTAGCTGCTCACAAAATCTGCAGGTTTGCTCGTTTGCCTGTATTGGGCGGTCTGTCAAAGGTCCTGGGAGTGACCCTTGATGGAGGAAAAGCCTTGAAGGCTTTCCAGGCTCATGACCCCGTCCGTCTCTGTGAACACCAGTGCAGTGATCTTTGCACTTCTTGGTGTTTTCTTTCACCTGCCATCTAAGACAAGGATAAGGATAAGGACTGAGATAAGGACGTGGAGCTGCTGGAGCAGATCCAGAGCTGGGGGTGTTCTCCTGGAGAAGGCTCCAGGAGAGCTCAGATCCTTCCAGTGCCTAATGAAGAAGTCCTCCCTGCAGACCGAGCTCCTCAGGGCTGTCCCCTTGTCACCTCAGGCACCTTCAGCAACATCACGGACCTGTGCCAGCCCGGGGCCCCGGGGGCTGGGGCCAACCTGAGCGATGCCAGCTGCCCTCCCCACGGCTCCAGGGAGAACCAGGAGGTGCTGCTGGTGATGTTCGTGGCCCAGGCCCTGCTGGGTGTCGGCGGCGTGCCCATCCAGCCCTTCGGCATCTCCTACATCGACGACTTCGCCAGCCAGAGGAATTCCCCCCTCTACCTGGGTGAGGCTGCTCCTGGGCTGGAGCTGGCAGCATGGCCAGGCTGGGATAATTGGCATTAATGAGAGCAGGGCTCATTACAGCCCTTCTGCTCTGCCCACGGCCAGGAAGGTTCCTGCAGAAAGGGTTTATGTGCTTCAGGCTTGGGCAGGCAGCAGGAGAGCTGGGAAAGAGCCCTTGGGGCAGAAGCTGGGGGTCTTTGGCCTGAGAGTGACAAAAACTGGAGGCAATTACCATAAACTCCTACAAAGAGGCTTCAGGAAGGCCTAGAGGGACAGTCTGATCTCTGTGTTCACAAGTGGCAGCTGTGGGTTTAAGGGGCTGTATAGCTGTCAGCAAAGCCGAACAAACCAAAGAAAGCAAAAGAAACCAAACCAAACAAACCAAAGAAAGCAGTTTCAGGCACCTGGGAGATGGGAGGGTACCCTTCAGTAGAGGGGCTGCTGGAGAACAGCTTGGTACAGGCCCACAGGGGTGCCTCAGGGTGGGGGGATGGACAAGGTGGTCCTTGCAGCTCCTTCCAGTCCTTTCCCAGCTGCTACCTGTCACAGCCTCCAACTGAAAGGAGCAGCAAAGTAGATCAAAACCAGGTCATTACTGCTGAAAAAAGGAAGCACAGCATCGAGTTTTGTTCTGGTAGATGATCCAAACCTCTCACACGTAAGGTAGGAGATGAATCTTACATGTGTGGATTTCTTTTATCAGCAATTCACAGAGAAGAGTTCACTGATAACTTTTATCTCCTTCACCTTGTAAAACTTGATGTTCCCTGGATTACTGATGCCAAGGGACACCTCTTGTTCCTGGGAGTACTGCAGTCCTTCGAGGAGGCTGAGTGTCAGGAAAGGTCTGAGCCAAAGGGAATTCCACGTGGGAAAGAAAAGTGGGGAGCATGAGGCTGTTGCTCTTGGAGATAAGAAAGCTGCCAGGGAAATGGGCTGTGCTGGAGGCAGGTGCAGCAGAGGCTGGGCCCAGCCTGAGGCTCCTGTGTCCCCCAGGTCCCTTGCCCAGGCTGAGCCCTCCCTGCTCTCATGCCCCACAGGAATCCTGTTCTCCCTGACGGTTGTGGGGCCAGGAGTGGCCTTCATGCTGGGCTCTGCCATGCTGAGGTTCTACGTGGACATCGACAAAGTCAGCTCAGGTGAGGCACCACAGGTCCTGGGACAGCTTTGGGAGAATAGGGGTTCCAGCCTCCTGGGGGTTCTCTGTGCCAGTGGGGCAGAGTGGGCATCCAGCACATCCCTGTGCCAGCTGTCTCCATCCAAAGGAGCTCTTTGGACACCCTGGGGGCAGCAGTGAAATGGGAAAGAGGCCATGGGATGTGATTTAGCGGTGGGATGATCAGGGCAAACGCTGCTCAGGCCCCAGGGCTGACGGTCCCCGGGCTGGGAGCCACCCCCTTGGGGCTGGTTGGTGCTGGGGGTGGCTGGGGCCAGCCTTTGGTGCACTGGGGTCCCTGCCTTGTCCCAGCACTGGTCTGATGCCCCTCTCCTCGCCTCTTGCAGCTGAGGTGCAGCTCACCAACAAGGACCCACGCTGGGTGGGGGCCTGGTGGCTCGGGTTCCTGGTGGCTGCCAGCCTGGTGGCCCTGTGTGCCCTGCCGTACTTCTTCTTTCCACGGGACATGCCAAAAGAGGTAGGAGAGCTTCTGCACACACACACACCTCGGTGGGGCCGAAATGCCACGGGAACCAGAACCACTGGCAGTTCTGTGCCTTGGGGAGGGGAGGATGCAGTCCCAGATTCTCATGTTTAGCAGAGGCACCAGCTCTGTCCATCCTGGCAGCTTTTGTCTGGGAGAAATCACTAACTTTGGAGGTGAACTTGAAATTCCATCAGTGGGCTCCTGGCAGACGAGGACAGCTCTTCTCCAGCAGAGCTGGGAAGCAGGGCAGGGAGCGTCTGAGCAGTGCAGAGCTGCTCCCCAGGGGTGTCTGAGCCTGTCACAGCTCGGGAGCTCCCCGAGTGTCCCAGCTGTGCATGGCAGCGCCTCGGGAGCAGCAGAGCAGAACGAGCTGTGCTGGCAGAGGAGGTTTTTCTGCAGGCTGGGATGCTGCTGGAGCTGCTGGGACACGCTCAGGAGGTGAAGCTGTGCTCCTCTTGGCCGTGCTGGAGGTGGTGTCAGCGCCCTCCATGTGTGCTGCACCTCGAGGCAGCATCGAAACCTCCCTGTCTGAACAAGTCTGTGCAGAGCAATCCTTCATTTCTCCAGACACTGCCTGGATCTCCACAGGAATCAGAGCGGACTGGGGGTTCCCTGACCTGTTCTGCCAGCTCAGCTTGGGGGTGCAGTGATTTACTGCTGCTGACCTGGGCTGTGAGGTGATGGGATGCCCTGTGCATGGCAGGAGGGGGGTGACCCCAAATGCAGAGTGCCTGATTGCTCCTCCTGCAGCCTGGGCTGCCCTCAAGCCTGAGGGAACGTCTGGGCTAGCAGGCTCGAGGCTCATCTTAGGGAAAAGTTCTTCATTAGGGCTGAGGGGAATATTAATTTCATAAACGCCTCTCGAGAGAAGATAATGCACTTCCAGCTAAAACAGCTGCACTTCCTGGCAAGTGCTGCACTCTGAGCCGCTTGGAAGGGTTTAAGGGGGAGCAGGCTATTGATTTTAAAAGGAGCAGGAAGATCTCACCCTGCTCTGCTGCCTGGGATCTGTAGGGAGCACTCCCACATGGCTGAGCACCCACGTGTCCCTCTGCAGCATGTGAATTTCTTGAATTCTTGGATTCCTCCCCATTTTTGCATCTCCCTCAGAAAGCTCTTGGAATCTGCTGGTGGTTAAAAATAATAATAGGAAAATACAGTAAATAACCAAATTCTGCTCTCCTTGCAGAAGGGGAGGCACCGGGGCCAGCCACGCCTGTCCCATGGGGGTATCAGCGCCAGCAAGGGGTTCTGCCTAAAAAAATTCAAATCAAAACCTCCGCAGAGAGTTTACCACGTGCTGTTCTGGGTAACACATGTGAGCTGCAGGAGCTCACATTCCAAGATGTGCTGGAAATGGATGTTTTCCTCTGTGTGTGTGTGTGCTGTCCTGCCCACAGCACACCCCTTCAGGCACAGCCTGGAAAAGCACAGCTCTGCTGTGCCAGAGGCAGCTGAGGTGGGGTCCCGCTTGTGCCCACTCTCCTCAGTGGGCATCACTGTGCAGCAAACGCTGGGTATCAGCCACCCCTCTGTGCCTCTGGAGACTGGGCTGCCTCCTCCCACCAGCCAAGACACATCTGCATGTTTCATTCCACTGCTGCAGCCTCACCTTTTCCTGATGAATTCTTTCTTTGAAGTCCCTGGAATGGCTCGTGTTAACATTAATGACCATGTGGGGCTGCTCGTTTGATCTTTTTTTCCTAAATTAGTCGCTCCAAACCCAGAACATTTTTATTTCTCTGCTTTGCTGCTTGTCAGTGGGTTTCTAGCACCAAAGTTTCCTGAATAATCCTCCTGAGGGCTGATCATGGCAAAGCCATGAGGTTGTCATGAGATCAGGAAGGGGATGAGAGGATGAGGCTCTTATACTGGACAAACTGTTTTCAGTCAAGAACAGCTTTTTCCCCCAGTAATTCCAGTTTGATCCTGCCTCCATGGGCCCAGACCATTCCTTGGGGTTGTGTCCTGTTCCTGTGAGGAGCTCCCAGCACTCTCCAGTTGCTGTGTGGCCATAGTTTAGCTCATGCTTTGCCCATCTGCTGGTGTTGCTGCATCCCAGGGCAGGCAGCAGTGCTGTCACAATATTCCAATATTCCTGCCACACAGGCTCTGCCTGTCCTGCAGCTCTGAGGGTGACACAGCAAGGGACTGAAAGGGGCAAAGCTGCTCTCAGAGACAAAACAGGCACTTCCAGGGATCCAGGGAGAGCCACAGCACAGGGCATGGTCTGAGGAACAAAGAGGGCCAAGTGGCAGGACAGGCTACAGGAATCCTGCTCTCTACAGCTGGACTTTCCCCAGGGAGCTTTAAAGGCAGGCACAAACAGCAGCTGAAAATAAACCTCCCTTGTGGTGGGAGCAAGGTGCCCCTCAGCTGGTTATTTTAACTCTCCTGGAAATAGGGTCCCTGGAGGGACCCACACCTGCTGCAAGAGGCATAATGAGGTGTTTGTAGGGAGCCTGACCTTGTCAAAAGGAAAACAACTCTTTCCCAAGCCGTGAGGCTTTGCACTTTGTTTGTCTAATATGAAAATAACTTCTGTGACCTTACTTTTCAGTGAGCTGGGAGTGCCAGGTTCTCTTCACAGCCAGAGGGAAACTCTGGAAACTCTGCAGAAACCTCAAATTAAACAAAGAGAACCTCTCTGTCACAGAGCAGGTCATTTATCCCTGTTTCCAGGGGTGTATTTGGATCAAGCCAGCCTGCTGGCACCTCTGGCTGCCCTTCTCACAGGTGCAGGAGCAGGTGGGGAGAGCAGGAGCTGCCAGGGAGAGCTGCTTTCATTTTCCTCTCCTGCAGAGCCCTGCTCAGCCACGCCCGGATTTATTCCTGTCTGTGCAGGGAGATGGGGATATCCCCAGGCCAAGGTCAGGCTGGGGATGCTCTTCCTGATGCAGAGTGTGAGGCAGCTTCATTCTCCTTCCCCAAAAAGCCTGTCTGCCTCCTCCAGCCCCCTGAGGGTGGCAGTGATGCCAGTGGACTCATGGAATCACAGTGGGGTTGGGTTACAGGGACCCTAAAGCCACCCCTGCCATGGACAGGGACACCTCCCACTGTCCCAGGGTGCCCCAAGCCCCAGTGTCCAACCTGGACACATCAGGGGTCCAGAGGCAGATAAAAATGCAGATAAAATCTGATTGCAAAACCATGAGATGCAGCGAGTGGCAGCAAGGAGCTGAGTCCTTTAAGGATTCATCCAGGGGAATCCAAGTGTGGGGGCATTTTGCAAGCTGAGTTTGTTTCTCCTTGGCAAGATGCTGGGGCAGGGCTGAGCAGCCAGCTCGTGTTACTGCACCTTCCAGCTCCAGCCTGACAGATTTCTGCTGTGAGAATGCCAAAACCCCCCGTGGCAGAGGCACAGCATCCTCCTCAGGGCATGGGCATCTCTGATGGTGCAGCAGCACCTTTCCAGCATCATCCACAGCAAGCAGGCTGGATTCCTGCTTTTCCCTCTGCCCCTGCTTTCCTTCAGCCCACAGGAATGTATTTCCGGATCCTTTCAGACAGCCAAACACCAAGCCAGGGCCAAGGCAGCACAGGGAGAGGAGCTTCCCCCCTCTGTGAGGGCTTTGCTCCATGTGCACACAGCTGAGCCAGGGAAACATGGCTTGCAAGGGTCACACACAGGGACATCCCAGGCTGGGGGAGCTGGGGGGAGCTGGGGTTTTGTCTGGACATGCAGGCTGTTGACTCTCAGAAGTACAAACAGCTGGAAGCTGAGGAAGCCACGGGCAGGAGCAGCTTGAATGTATTTTTGGAAAACGCTGCAGTTTCAGAGCAGAGAAGAGCCCCTGTAAGGCAGTTGGAAAGTGAAAGGGGTTTTATCTTTGCATTTGAAAAATGTATGAAAGCCTGAGCTCCAGCAATTCAAAACAGGAAAGGAGTTCGTTGCCTCTGCCCTCAAAAAGGGCAGGTGGCAGCCACAGCACAGACACTGTGACCTCACTGCTGTTTAATGAGCACTCTCATCTCAGAGCAGAGGAGGGGTTTCAGCCCAAGAGCTGCTGTTCCCTCATGTCCATTACAGCTCTCTAATTGCTGCTGGATGAACTCATTTACCCAGCTCGGGTCAGGGCTGCTGAGCTGATGGGGTGGCAGAGCTGCAAACACTCTGTGCCTTGCCCTGCAAAGCACGCTGCCCTGAGCCCTGCCAGGCACAGCAGCACATCCCCAGGCAGTGCCAGCCTGCTCCTGGGGCTCCCTGCAGCTCCTGCAGGGGATCAGAACACATCCCAGCAATGCTCCTTGGGCTTCCTGTGCCCTGGGGTGTGGGACGCCCCGAGGGAGGCTGCCATGCACCTTCCCTCTCCGAGCCCTCCAGGGCTGGGGACCCCACGCTGCCCTGGGCAGCCTCCTGCCTTAGGAGGTCACCAACAGCCTGCCTGCATCCCAGACCCCCTCCTGGGCTGGATACATTTCCCTCCTACAATTGCTGCCTCTTTCCTGCCCAGCAGCTTGTGAGGCAGCACAGAGACTGGGCTCACCCTCCACCCAAAGCTGTGCTGGTGGGGAGCCAGGTGTGTCCCTTGTGCTCTCACACAGGGCTAGAACAAGCTCTGGGGCACAAAACCATCCCCATAAGGGTATCCAGCAAAGGTTGGCACCTCCTGAGTGAGTTTGGCACCTCCTCCCCCTGCAAAGGCTGGCCCCTCCTGAGTCTGTGCGAGCTGAGCACACGGCATGCTGTGCCTGGGGAGTGGCACAGCTTGATATTGGTGGAGTGTGCTCCACCACTGTCAGAAAGGTGGGAAAGCTCCTCTGCAGCATGGGAATGTGTCTGGATGCTGTCAGCCTCACTGGAAACCTGGAGGTGTGGGCAGGGAGCACAGCTGGACACGACAGGGACGGCCATCCTGGGCTGCTGTGTGTCAGGGTCAGGGAGAGAAAGGCCAGGGCAGGGGAAGCTGGGGCATGGTGCATGCAGTGACAGCCTCTGTCTGGTGTGTCCCCAGGTGGTGAGAGGGAAGGACAGAGGCAGCAAGAAGAGGGAGGACATGCTGAGCCAGCTCAGGCCGAGGTCCCAGCACACGGAGAGCCTCTCCCTGATGGAGTTCATCAGACGTAAGTGAGCCATTGCCCCTGCCCAGACAGCAGCTCCCACGGCCAGGCTGGGCCATGCCAGGGCTGCCAGGGAGCAGGCATGCTCCCCCTGGGCTCAGCACAGCTCCTGGATCAGCCCTTGAGATGCACCTTAGGCTCGAGGCTGGGTCTGAGCCCTCTGCTGCCTGCTCACAGCACCCTGCTGCACCTCCTGCCAACCAAAGCTCCCGGCCTTGGTCACTCTGAGTGTCACATTCCTTCCCTGGCAGTGCCCCAGGCCAGGCTGGACAGGGCTTGGAGCAGCCTGGCACAGTGGAAGGTGTCCCTGCCATGGCAGGGGGTGGAATGGGATGGGCTTTAAGGTTCCTTCCAACCCAAATCCTTCTGTGACTCTGTGATCCATGGCTCATGTGGGCAGTGGGAATCAGAGGCCAAAGTCTCACCAGAGCCCTAATGCAGGCAGGAAGGAGGGGTGCTAGCTGTGGGGCTGGAGCAGAGCCATGGGAAGGGACAGACCCCTTCAGCCACAGGGGCTTGGGGGCTGCTCTTGCTCAGCCCTCAGGCCATGGAACCAGGAATCGGTCCCACAGCAGCACTGGCAACTTCTCCTCCCCAGAAAGCCTCATCAGACTCCCTCCTGCAAGGCTGGAGATGCTGTCCAAGGCAGGCTGACCTCCTGTCCCACTGAGAGTGGCCAGCGCTGCCTGGGGCCAGGGTCTGGGCAGTTAAAACCCAGAGGGAGATGAATCCAGTGCAATTAAATTGTTTGGAAATGAGTGGGCTCTTTATGCTGAAGGGGATCAGCTGGGCTTCAGTCTGTGGAGGCATCTGCTAATGCTTGGGATGTTTGGGTTTTTTAAAACCTCTGCACTTTGGCAGCTACTTAAGAAAAGTGACCCTCTGAAGTCTCTCCGTGTCAGCTTCCTCCATATTTCCCAGCTATTATCCCGTCAATTTCTTGCACATTCTCCGTGCTCTGAAGGGCAGTGCAGGGCAGGCACAGCCAGGCAGGCGTGGGCAGCTTTCCTCCCGCTGGTGGCAGCGTTTGCTGTCAGCCTAACGCTCAATTAGAGGAGGCACTCGGGGGTTCCTTCCCCCCCCCGACCTTGTGGCACTGTCATTTGGAAACCTGTGTGCTGGGAGAGGCTGCGTGGGAACAGATTGATGGTGCTCAGATGGGATTTTCACACCAGCCCTCTGCTCTGTGCCTCCCAAACACGAATCAAAATGAGCTCCCTGCTCCCGGCTGCAGCTTTGGTGCGGGGCTGGAATCAGCATTGCTGTGTCAGGGCTGTGCTAATAAATCCATTATTTCTCAGGATTTATCCCCCAAAGCCCAGTTCTGAAATAAATGAGGCGTCTGGTTTATGTCAGGAGAGCAGCCTGGCTGAAATCTCTAATACAAAACTCTTCTGGAGCCAGGAAGGGGTGGCAGGTAGTGTGTGATGGTTACCTGCAGCAATTTGGGTGAAGCCCAAAGACTTCAGGGCTGGCTCATCTGCAAGTCACTGGAAAGAGAATTTCCCTCCCAATTCACCACTCTCCTGCTGGCTTTGTTTCCTCTCTCTGTTTCTCTTTTTACTATTATTTTCAGCATGATAATTTATGAGAGCAGCATTTGGAGATGAGATTCTCCAGCCTGAATCTCCTTGGCAGTGCCCCAGGCCAGGCTGGACGGGGCTGGGAGCACCCTGGGGCAGTGGAAGGTGTCCCTGCCATGGCAGGGGTGGCACTGGGGGGGCTGTAAGGTCCCTCCCAACCCAAACCATTCCATGACTGTGGAGGAGGAAACCCTTTTGCCCTGTGTTCTGTTGTTTTGGGCATACCCAGAGAGCAAAATCACTCCTGCAAGCAGAGCAAGGGTGGGCTGGAGCCTGTTCATCCCTCCTGGGAGCCCCTGAGCCTCCCTGGGCAGGCTGTGAGGGGCAGGAGCAGAGCCCTGGAGGCTCTGTCTGGGCAGGGAGGGCTTTGCCAGCCCAGCAGCAGCACCAGGATGGGGCTGTGTGCAGGGTAAGGGTCAGGCCAGGCTCTGGGGACACTCAGCCCAGCATGGAGCTCTGCCTGGACTCAGAGCTGGGCACTGATCTTGGCTCTGGCACAAACACTCTGTGTGACACCAGCTTGCACCCTGCTCCTCACACTCACAAACTCCTCCCAAATTCCTCCTGCTGCAGGCATCAGGTCTTCCTGCAGTAATGGGAAAAGTAGGATTTAGCTTGCCTGAAGTCATTTCCATTGCTAATTTCCAGGCTTCTGTTGGAAACACCTGGGAGGATGTGCAGACTCTGCTGCACATACTGGGAATTAGCCCATTAAAGGTGATCTTCAAAGCAATTGAAGCGCTGCACTCGTGACTCGTTTGTTTCTCTTATGGTCCCCAAAGGCAGTTTCAAGGATGTTTTTTGTTTATTATTTTAAAGTTTCCCCTGTTTTTCCTTTCTGCCCAGCTGCTTCTCTGGAGCTGCAAGGAGGATCCAATTAGGGGTTGCAGAGGATGGAAATCTTGCTGCTCCCACCATGAAGTGGGGACCTGCTCAGCTTTTCACCTCTGATTTGGGGTGTGTGGTTTGATTTAAAAGACCAGAGACCTCCAGGGAAAAGGACTTTTTGGTGGAGGATCCCCACAAAAGGCTGTATTGGCTCTCAGGAGATTTTTCAGCCAGCAAGCTGAGGTTTCCTATCTGCAACATGGCTGAGAAATTCGGGGAATACTCTTCAAAAATCAGGACCTGTAGTGGTTCTTGAGAGCAAAACCATCTCCCCCCGTGGGTCGACAGTGGTGTAATGCAGCTCCTTCCCTCTCTGCTGACTGCCAGCCTGCAGAGGGTCAGCATTCCAGGGTCCTTGTCCGTGCTGTGTATGCCTGGGCCCCTCCAAGGACCTGCTTTTGCAGCTCCCTGAGGGCAAAGCGCTGAGCTGGAAGGGCCGTGGTGCCATGAAGGGGAGTTGGGGACGTGGGGGACCCCACTGCACCCTCAGAGAGTCCTTTTGCTCTTCACAGAAGATTTAGGACAGCCAAAATCCGTCCCCACCTGGGGCCAGCTCCCAGACAAGCCCCCGGGGAGGTGTCCCCAGCACCGCTGTGCTGGAGCAGATAGAAAGATTGTCCCTCTTGTTTGTCAGCTGCTGAGAATTAACACCATTAATTGATGGCAGTCCTCTGCATTAATCCTCGCTGTTAATTCCTTATCTCTGCTCCAGCATATTGGCTGCCCTGGCCCTCATCTGGGAGACTCATCAGCAGTTTGTTTGGAAGTTGCCCTTTGCTGCCAGCCCGAGCAGGGGGAGGCACTGGGGGAGCAGCAGCAGGAGCAGAAGGTGGCTCCGGGGTGTGCAGGAAGGGGACATCACTCCAGCAGGGACAGTGGCAGCTCCCAGCTGGCAGCACGGGGCACCCCATGTGCTGAGCAGGCTGCACACCTCTCCTCAAGGGTTCAGGGCAATTTGCTGGAGTGTTCCTTGGCTGCAATCAAAAATTGCACTTTTCTCTGTTTCATTTTTTCATTGAAACTGAAAGGACACTGAAATTGCAACCACAGCAAACAAATAAATTAACTTGTAATGACTTCCCATCTACTTTTGTGTTTGTTTTAGCAGCAGCTCTGCCAGAAGGCTGCAGGGAAAGGGGTGGAACGAGATGAGCTTTGCAGTGCCTTCCAGCCCCAACTCTTCTGCGGCTCCCTGATCAGAATTTTGCTCCCTTGTCCTTTCAGGTTTCCCCGTGGTGCTGCTGAGGAACCTGAGGCACCCCGTGTACCTGCTGGTGGTGCTGGCTCAGGTCAACATCTCTGCCATGGTGGCTGGCCTAGCAACCTTCATGGGCAAGTTCCTGGAGAGGCAGTTCTCCCTCACAGCCTCCCTGGCCAACATGATCATTGGTAAGTGCTGCTGAGCTTTCGACTCCTTAAAAAGCCACCTAGAAATTGGGAAGGGTTCCTCTAGAGTAAAGCCTCCCTCTCAGAGAGTTCAGAGATCCTGCCAGAGAAGCGTTTAAAACACGTTATTGAGCAGACAGCACCTCAGGGAACGAGGCCTCTGAGGTCTGGGACAGATAAATCAGAATAAAATGAGCAGAACAGGCTGGCAGAGCCAGGGCTGAATGCAGCAGGAAGGTTAAATGCTGAAGCAGTGCTGTCCTGCCCTGAGGTGCCCAGCTGAGCTGTTCCCAGCCTGGATTTACCCTCTGCATTCAGGTCAGCACCGTGCTCCGTGGATGAATTGATCTGGCCTTTGTTCCCACCACTGAGTCTCGCTTGGCCTTTTCCTTTCAGATCAAAAAGCTTTCTGTAGCTGGAAATTCCTTCCTTGCGTGGGCATTGAGGGGCTGAAAGCCACCTCCCTGTGCATTCTTAGCTGAATTAAACACTTTGCATGTCTCTAGCTGAACTTTGGTCTCCCCCCAAAAATGGGGGGTTTTATGGAAATGGGGTTTTATGGAAATGGGGTTTTACAAGGGGGACCACAGAAATGGGCACAATCCTGCTCTGCACAGAAATTAAACTTCCTCCCCAGGCTGATTTGGTGTTTCTTCCTGTCAACACTAAAAAAATCACATTTTGCTGGGTGAGGCCCAGCTTTCCCCTGCTCCTGACATCTTCCACCCATGGATCCATGAGGCAGCCAGTTTGCTGTGGGATCCTTTTGAAAAGCAGGTTTTTGGTAGCATTACTCCACCAATCCCTGCAAAAACCTTGGTCCCTTTCTGAACCACCTGTGCTGAAAAATAGCAACCCAACAGCAAATCCTCTGGGCCTTCCCTTTGTGAGAAGGGACTGGCACAGGCCAGAGATGGAAAACAAGGTACAGGGATAGGACTAAGGAGGAATGGCTTTAGATTGGGTGTTAGGAGGGAATTGCTCCCTGGGACAGTGGGGAGACAGAGAAGCTGTGGCTGCCCCCTGCATCCTGGAAGTGCCCAAGAACAGGTTGGATGGGCTTGGAGCAGCCTGGGATGGTGGAAAGGGATGGGACTGGGTGATGCTGAAGGTGCCCTGATTGCATGCCTGCCTTTTCCCAGGTGCTGTGAACATCCCCGGGGCCATGGTGGGGATCGTGGTGGGCGGCGCCATCCTGAAGCGGTTCCAGATGTCCCTGAGGCAGTGCAGTGCCCTGTGTGTGCTGGGCATGCTGCTCTGCCTGCTCACTGCCTTTCCCCTGCTCTTCCTGGGCTGCCCCACGCAGAAGGTGGCCGGTGTCACCCACTGGGACAGGTACCTCAGCTCCTGGGCTGGGCACACCCCAGCCACAGGCACATTCCTGGAGTGGGAGCCAGGCAGAATGCCCAGAAATGGGTTTGTTCCCTCAGGAGAAGCAGCTAGTGAAGGTAAACTAAGAAAATCTGAGTCCTCTGTGTCCTCAGGTTTAGGGCAGAAAATGTACTGCTCACCTTCGTGACTTATCCCACACATGGTGGAGTCATTTCAGCTTTATCTCCTGGGGGCTAAAACCTTTTTAACACGAGGTTTTTAGGAGCAAGGGTTGTAAGGGTTCCACCAGTGAGATTTCCTACCAAGGAGCAAGCGTGGAACCCAAGGTAAACACGTTTTTGGCACAAACAGCACAAGATTTCATCTTGGAAAGAGTGGTGGATGAATAATTCAGGCAGGGGCCAGCTCTGGGATCACACCATCTAAGCTGTGGCAGCTAAATGTGGGCAGGAGCTTTTTGTGTGCCCTGGAGGCTGGATCCAGGTCTCTGAATTCCCTGGTTAGTGTCCTGTGGTCCGGGCCCTCAGAGGGAGCCTCCCTCCCTCCCACAGTGTTGCAAGAACCCCAAAGGCCGGGTTTGGGACCAAGAATGAGGGCAGTGGGTGGCCCTGGTGCCCAGCTGTGGTGGGGATGCTTTGCCAGGCAGAGCAGAGGTTTGAGGCGATGCTGGGATTCCCGTGGGGAAGGGTTCCTTGTGCAGTCAGGTGGGTTTTGCTGACCCCAGCACACACACAGTGGGTTTTCTCTGTGAGATGCAGGTGGGTGATGCCCCATGCCCACATTAACCCTTTCCTGGCCCCAGCTCTGGCTCTGGCCACCACGCCATGGCGTGCAACGTGCGGTGCCGCTGCCCCGAGCGCGGCTTCAACCCCGTGTGCGGCTCCGACGGCGTGGAGTACACGTCCCCCTGCTCTGCTGGCTGCAGCAGCGTGGCCCTGCGCCCCGATGGCTCCGTCCTGGTGAGTCACAGCTGGCCACAGCTGGACCTGCCGCCCCCACCGGGCTGCCCTGAGTGTCTGTGGGACAGGGGAGAGCAGGGTCACCGTGCAGGGCTTTGCTCCCTCCTGCTTTCCTCTGCTGTGGGTTGTTCTGCTGGCAGTGCAGCTCAGCAGACCCACCTGAGGAAACTTGTGCCACTCAAAGCCCGACCTGAAGATCAAGTGGCTTTCCCTGCACTCTTGGCACAGGGTGTGATGGCAGCAGGGAGCTGTCTGGGCGGTTTGCAGCAGTATTTTGTTAATTAGCGGCGCTTCATTTTGATAACAGTTGTGCTTTCTGCCAGAGCTCAGTCCCAAATGTGCTTTCCTGCACCCCCACGCCTGCCTTTTGTACAGCAGATCCTTTCCAACAGCTTTTTTTCCTCCTCAGACAACGCCTCTCTCTTCCAGCCCTTGCTTTCTTAGAAATTTTACACTTTTCTTACCATTTTCAGCGGTACAGGGACCTGTGGCACCCATTGCCTGCTGCTTTCCCTGTCCCAGGTTTTCCAGGAACCCTCCCAGCCTGCAGAAAACCCTGCAATTGTGTGCCCAGCTTTGCTGCAGCCCTCCCAGAGGGCACCATGCAAGCTTGGATGTAGGAATGAGGTTTTGGGAGAGCCTGAGCTGCCCCTGCCTCTGGGATCACTCTTCTGCAACTGCAACCCCCTAACAACCAAAAGATTGTACTCATTTTATTTAAAGGTTTCTTTAAAACAAAAGAAACAACCCAGAGTTTTCTTTTTTAAAACAGATAAAAAAGAGATAATTGTGACTAAAAAGTAGAGAAATGGAGAAACTCCTCATCCATCACCCCAAGGCATCTTTCCTTTGCTATAAGGCTGTGGTAGATATTTATGAGCCTCTCTCAAAGGTGAGGTTACACATGTTTGATTTAACACTCCCTGAGCTGTGGCTGCAGCTCTGCCCGGGGTGAAGGGTCTGGCAGCAGGACAACACCTGGCACAGGTGGCACAGCCAGGAATTCCTTCCCAAAATCCCATTTATCCCTGCCCTCTGCAAAGCCATTCCCTGTGTCCTGTCCCTCATCCCCAGTCCCTCTCCAGCTCTGCTGGAGCCCTGGATGTGTCTCTGAGCTCTCCCCGAAGTACTGAGTGCTAATTCCTGCTAATTATTCTCAGACAAACCTTACCTGCTCTCCTTGGCTCTGTCAGCTGGCAGCGTTCCCTTCCACCTCTGGAAGCAGCCTGTGGATGTGGTCTGTCTCCTCTTTGCAGAACTACACTGGCTGCAGCTGCTTCGGCGCGGCGGGCACCGCCAGGCCGGGCCCCTGCGGCACCAGCTGCTCCCACCTCTTCGTGCCCTTCGTGGTGCTCTCCTGCCTGGCTGGCATCCTGGCCAGCACCTCCCACACGCCCTCCTTCATGCTCATCCTCAGGTGGGCACGGCTTGGGCACCTCCTGGCCAGACAGAGAGGGCATCCAGAGCGGGTCTGTGCGGCAGGGGGGTGGATTTCGCCACCTGTGGGACTGGGGGCTAAACCAGCCCTGGATGGGGGCTAAACCAGCCCTGGATGGGGCTAAACCAGCCCTGCCTGGGAGTTAAACCAGCCCTAGATTGCAGGTGGCAGCAGGATGGAGCCAGCCAAGATGGGAGCCCAGGCTGGTGGAGCTGGAGCCCAGCATGGGTAAAGCTGAGGCAGAGGGGAAAGCCATGGGGGAATCTCTGTGTTAGTCTGTAAATGATACTTCCAAGCTCTTCCTGGTCCTGGCAGGATTTTCAGGCCAGGAAAGGCCATGGGCAGTGTTCAGCCCTAGTGAATGAACCCTCATCAGCTTTGGTGATGTGAATGGGAACTCCCTGGGATCCTTGGAGGCTAGGTTGAAGGACGAGTGTGTGGGCGAGGTGCTGTGCCAGGGAGGGAAGCATCCATCCTGGAGGGATTGCCAGAGGGCATTTTGTTCCATTTTGTTTTTCAGGAGCATCCAGCCTGAAGACAAATCATTTGCCGTTGGCATACAGTTCATGCTGCTGAGAGTTTTAGGTAAATTGAAATGTGTTAAAATACCCTCCTGGAAAATAATGGCAGCTCTTGGAGAGGGCTTTCCCAGGGCTGGGAAGGCTGCTGCCCTGCAGGGTCTGGGGGCACGTGGAGGGGGTGAGACAAGGCAGCTCCAAGGGCTCCATCCCCAGTCCCTGAGGCCTGTTTTTGGGATGGCCGTGGGCCCTGGGGCCATGGTTTTCAGGCTATGGGCCCCAGGTCCATGTTTTTGGGGTGGCTGTGACCCCTGGGGCCATGGTTCAGGCTGTAGCCCCTGGGGCTGTATTTTTGGGGGTGTTTGTGGCCTCTGGGGTGGCTGTGACCCCCGTGGCTGTGGTTCAGCCTGTGGCCCCTGGAGCCTGTTTTCAGGGTGGCTGTGGCCCCTGAGGCCTGTTTTCGGGGTGGCTGTGGCCTCCGCGGCTGTGGTTCTGCCTGTGGCCCCTGGGGCTTATTTTCGGGGTGGTTGTAACCCCTGGGGCCTGTTTTTGGGGTGGCAGTAGCCCCTGAGGCCTGTTTTTGGGGTGACGGTAGTCCCTGAGGCTGTGGTTCGGCCTGTGGCCCCTGAGGGCTGTTTCCGGAGTAGCTGTGGGCCCCGGGCCCAAGTTCAGGCTGTGGCCCCTGGAGTCTGTTTTCGGGGTGGCTGTAGCTCCTGAGGCCCTGGTTTTGGGATGGCTGTGGTCCCTGGGTCCCTGGTTTGAGCTGTGGTGCCCAGGGCCTGTTTTCAGGTTGGCTGTGGCCCCTGAGGCCTGTTTCCGGGTAGCTGTGGCCCTTGGGTCCATGGTGTGGGCTGTGGCCCCCGGGGCCTGTTTTCAGGGTATCTGTGCCCCTGGTGCCTGTTTTGGGGTGTCTGTGGCCCCCTGGTACCTGTTTTTGGGGTGTCTGTGCCCCCTGGTACCTGTTTTTGGGGTGTCTGTGGCCCCCGCGGCTGTGGTTCGGCCTGTGGCCCCTGAGGCCTGTTTCCAGGGTGGCCATGGGTCCATGGTCTGGGCTGTGGCCCCTGGGGCCTGTTTTTGGGATGTCTGTGCCCCTAGTGCCTGTTCTGGGGTGTCTGTGCCCCGGTACCTGTTCTGGGGTGTCTGTGCCCCCGGTACCTGTTTGGGGTGTCTGAGGGCAGGGCGGGCTGGCTGACGCCGTGGCTGTTGCAGCGTGGATGCCGGGCCCGGTGCTGTACGGCAGCGCCATCGACACCAGCTGCGTGCTGTGGGAGAGGCGGTGCGAGCGCAGGGCAGCCTGCAGATACTACAACAATACCCTCTTCAGGCACAGGTAGGGACACAGGGACAGCGGGATAAACCCTGTGCCAAGCACTGGGAGCACCCAGGGATGCTCCCCTGCCCCTGGGCTGCGGAGGGTGACTCCAGGACAGCTCCCTGCTCTGGGGCAGAGGCCGTGCCTGGAACAGCCTCCCCAGAGTCCCAGGGGTGCTCCTTGGAGCTCTCTGGAACATCCCCACTGCCCTGACCCGCTGTGTCTGCACCCACAGGTACCTGGGGCTGCAGTTCTTCTTCGAGGTGGGCGCATTCCTGTGCTTTGTGGCCGTGTATCTGATCCTCAGGAAGCAGGAGAAGGAAGCCAGCCAGGCAGAGGAGGCAAAGGCAGAGCCAGAGAAAGAGAAACTGGCGGGAAAGTCCACAAAGAGCCCGGAATCCAAAGTGTGACAGCGAAATGTGGATTGTGGTCTGTGCTGGGGAGGTGAATCAGCCCACAGCCGAGCTGTGCAGGGTGGATGCTTGGAGTGATGGACCCAGGGCTTGCTTCCTGCTCTCCCAGCTGGGATGGACTCTGCCTGCACTGCATGGATCCATCCACAGGTTGTTCTCCTCCTTGGGGTGCAGGTTGCTCCTTCACATGGATTAGTCCTCACTCTTTAGCCCGTGGACTCTGCAGCCTCCTGGGTTTGTGTCCTGCTAAGCAGTTTTTCCTGCTGACCGTCTCAGTGGTGCCAGCACTGAGCAGAAACCATAAACATGAAGGGTTTTGTGGAGTGTTTTTTTTAAATAAATCATTTTTAAGAAATGGTTTTGTACTGAACCCGCAGATCTCTGTGACTGATGTTCATAATTCTCGTTTTCTGTGTTATCAGCACTTACTTTCTGATGGTCAGTGCTTGAAGCACATGGGAGTTCAGGTGCATTCCTGGTTTTGCAGTTTGAGAAGGGCAGAACTTTCCCCAGGATCAGAGGACAAGGTTGGAGCCCTCTCCGGACTGGGTAGAGCTTGTGGCTAAACCATCTGAGCCCAGCTCCAGGCAGCCCTGGGCTCCCTGAAGGGGGTTCTGTCTGTAATTATGGGGTGGAAGTCCAGCCTGGCCCTATTTTGGTTCAGCTGCCTCTGTTTCCTGCATTCTTACCATCCTGGGGCTCCTTCCCACCCAGGAGTGAATTGTGTTACCCAGCCACAGCCACTGGGGAACTTTGTCATCTTTGGCTCCAGGATGGAATTTAGTAGAGAAAACAAAACTTGTAAGTTCAACCCAAATATGCAGAAAAGAAACACACAGAGGGGAAAATTCAGTCCCTCCTACCACCCTGGCAGATATCCCCTGGGAAGGGCTGGGTGTGCACAGAAGGGAAGGGAGCAGGCCTGTGGTGAAGTGACTGAATTTAGCTGTTCCCCCAAACTGTTTGCCCAGCCATTCTGAGGGACCCAGTTACCTCAGTGCAGACTGGGAGGGTGATTGGAATTTTTTAGGGGTTTGGGTTGGGGTTTTTTTCCTATTTTTGTGCAGTGCCTTGTGTTCACCAAGCTGAGAGTTTACAGCCCTGTTCAAGAAGCGATGTCTGCCTTCAGAGAAGGTTCTGGAAGGCAGAGGAGTGCGTGGACATTGCAGGGGTGTAGGTGCAGCCATCCAGGGAAGGACAAGTAGCATTTGCTGACCATGACCTTTAGAAAGCCAAAACCAGGAGAGTTTTGCTCTCTCCTCTTTTCCAAAGCCCTGCCAGGCAGCATCTGTTGCTGAAGCAGCAGGATGAGGTTCTTAGGGCAGGAGCAGGGAGGAGATGGGGTGTTCCAGCTCCTTGCAGCCCAGGAATCTGTGGCATCCCTGGAGAAGAAGGTTCTTTCCTGGCTGAGCACAAGCCTTGGCTCCCAGGCACTGTCCTGCTGTACTCAGCTGAGTCCCAAGTAACTCCAAGGTACTTTCCACACCACAACAAACAAACAACAGCACAATTTGCACAATTCGCTCCAATGGCGTGGGAAGTGGGGAGCTGCAGTGTCAGATTCCTGCTTTGCCAGGGAGCTGCAGTGTCAGATTCCTGCCTTGCCAGGAATCTGCCATGATTCCATTCTTTCCCATGGAAGTGTGCAAGCCCAGGCTGGATGGGGCTTGGGGCAGCCTGGGGTAGGGGGAGGTGTCCTTGCCCATGGCAGGGATGAGCGTTAAGGCCTTTCCAACCCAAACCATTCCATGGTTCTCTCCCCCATCCCACTGGAGCCCCTCAGGGCTGTGCAGCCTTTCTGAGAACCCCCCATGCCACTGAAAGCAGTGGTTCCATTTACAGAAAGGAGGGGGAAAGGGGACAACTGACCCCTTTCCCCAAACAAACAGGGAGTTCCAAGCCCTGTGGTGCTGCTGCAGGTGACAGGCAGGCTGCTCATCCCTCTGCTGCCTGGCTAGGATCCTGGTGCCTGCACAGGGGCCTGCAGGGTGGCCTGGCCAGCTCACTGCCCGCCCCTTCTCACGGCTGGGCTCAGGGCTGTGCCTTCATTTTCCACCTGGGAAACTCCCGTCACACCACAGAAAGGTCTGGCACAGCCTGAGTCCTTCCTTCCCTCATTACCCCTCCAGCAGAGGACAGATCCCTGGGGATAACCATCCAAGGCACCTGCAAGCTGTGTCTTGGCTCTAGGCTTGTTACTCTGGCAATTTCCATCCATTTGGGCTGGAGTTTCTAAAAAGAGAAACAAACCCCCATTTCCCCATCCCCTCCCCTGTGCTTTTTAAGAACATGGTTGAAAGGGACTGGCTTGCCAGGGAGGATGAAAGAGAGGCCGTTTGGAAAGGCTGCTCCCATAAAAAGCCCAGGGAATATGAAAGGGCTGGCAGCAGCGAGGGAGCAGCAGGAGCAGTGTTTGATGCAGAGCAAGGGGCAGGCAGGTAGGAGGGCTGCAGAGAAAGGAAGCAAAGGAAGGGGCAGAGGCAGCAAAATCCACCCTGTGCCGTTTGCCAGGCTCTGCCCAGAGGAGATGTCCCCTGCAGACAGCCTGGAACAGAATTTGCAGAGCTCTGGAGGGTACATCTTGGGCACCAGCCAGGAATTGCATTGGGGGGGTTAACAGGAGCTAATCCAGCTGGGCCAGGACTCATGGACTTCCTGGAACTGGAGCACTGGATGTTTTCATGCAGCACTTTGTGGTACCAGGGGTCACAGACCTGGAGGCAGAACGGTGCCTTTAGGGCTGCTGAGAATTGCACAGGGTCAAGAGGAGGAATTAGAACTGGGGGGAAGGACCCAAAGCACTTACAGAGCCAAGAGCTGCTTTAGAGCCAGGCACAGCTCCCATTCCCCTGGAAAAAAGAGCAAAGCTGAAGCTTTTAAATCACCCTCAGTGTGTTCAGCTCAGCCAGGTCTCCCCCTGGAGTGCTCCTGGCCACTGCTGCAGCCAGACCCAGAGGTTTCTCCTGCTTTGCTGCTGGTTTTCCACGGGATAGGGATGGTCCCAGGTGGATTCTGTGGCTGTTTGCAGGGGGCCAACAAAACATGAATCAAAACCCACTGGATGTTTCTCCTAAAACTCACTGCCTCTGGCAACCTGCGATCTGCTCAAGGAAATGCCCACTGAGGAGACACAGTTTGCAGCCACAAGACAGGGAATTGCTGTGGCTGGGACTGAGGCAGAGGTGGGCATGCAATCCACCCCCCAGGCTGGGGGAAGAGGAAGGAAAACAATCCATAGATGTTACACTGAAGTTCAGGAAAACCTGGGAAGTTCCCAGAGGAACACTCAAACACGAGCCAAGGAACCACTGAAACACTACCAATTAAAACCACAATTCCCAGAAACTGGAGGTTTCCAGGGATCTCAGAAGGGGAAAACAGAGCAATCAGGCAGATCCAGACCCAGCCCAGCGCTGGTCCCTGGAAAGATGCTGAGGAGGAGACTCATCCATGTGCAGCCGCTGGGATGGGGGTGTCATGGACTGTCTCACACAGATCTCATAGCAAACATTTCATTTCTCCTTCAGTCCCACCTGGGCAAGCTTCCTCCCTGACTGAAGGAAGGATTTTGACCCTGTCCCACCTTGTTCCCATAAACCAATTACCAGCCAGATGGAATTATGCAGAGGAGAGAAAAAGAGGAGAAAAACCAGGCTTAATTGGAAAGCTCCATCTCCAGGAGCTGCAGGTAGTTTGCTGCCTGCCCAAAAGGATTTATCTACAAGAATCTCACCAGGGTCTGTCCTGTCTCTAGGACTAATCAATATTTTAATTAATTACTTGGACGATGAGAGAAGAAGGAGCTAATAAAATTTCTGCTTACGGACATGAGTGCTTTGGACTGGAATCCAAATCCTTCAGAGCAGACTGGAGAAATGCTGTGAAATGGATAATACTGGGATTTACAAGAGCCAAACAGTGGGGCAGGGGAAGGAGGGCTGGGGTGCAAAGTTATTCCTGGGAGAAAGGGGATGTGGCAGCAGCTCGTAATGGAGCAGAAGATTTTTGGGCTCATATTGTCCCTTTGAGTTAAATTGGCAGTCACCACAATTCTCTGCCTGTCCTGTGAGGGGAAGATATGACCCCTTGCACTTGGAGGCATAAAATTATCTCCCCATGTTGCTGAATTGAGTAAGTTTCCTGCTTATTGCCAAGTGCATCTCCTCCAGCTGTGCCCTCTCGAAGGTCCAAGCAAACAGAGCAGAGTAAATCAGGAATTATCTCCTGTGCTTAGAGACAGGTTGAGTAATGATTACTCCTGAAACATGGAATTCATCTCTGGGGCCTAATGGACTTGCAGTGGAGCTGCAGGAGCTTGCTGCTGAGGGCTCTGAAGTGCTTGTGGCCAGGGAGGAGCATCCTTTATCCTGCAGAGGTGGTGAGAGCTGGAGCTGCTCCCCAGCCCCAGCCCAGCCTCATCTGGTGCTTCCAGGGCGCTGAAGGACAGAAGTGCTTTCACACAGCCCTGATAAAGGATTCTAATCTCTCTCCCCTCACTTTTCAAGTGACAATGGCATTTGCTGAAGGGAGCAGAACCTGAGGTGGTTCCAAGCTGTGCACACCGGTGCAACTTTCTGAGCAAGCTCAGGAACAAATAACTTTCCCTGGGAAAACTTGCTATTGAATTGTTCTTGCTCTCACACCTGCTGTGAAAAAAGGCTTCCCTTTCCACCCTCCCCATGTCCTGTTTGTCCCAGTGCCATGACCTAATCACACATTGGGCACTGAAAGTGTCCAAATTGCACTGAATGTGTCTATTCCAAATGAAGCTTTGGCTCTCTGTGCTCATCTTTCTTTTCCCCCCACAGTTTCTGGTTTCTTGTGACTCAGGAGTGCTCTGGAGCACGGGCTGGGCACCAATAATGAGGTATCCCCAAACCTGTGGCCTGGGAGATGGGAATTGCCTGTGTGTGAGGGCAGTGCAGGAACAGTGAATCCAGGAGGATGGGGATGGCATGCTGGGAAATGGAGACACTGTTGGTGGTAATCAAACTGGGAACACTGAGGACACTCAATTCCCAGCAGGCCTGATGGGGTACAGCCCCCACAGCCCCGGGACAGGACAGATCCATGAGGATCAGCCCCAGAGGAAGGAGATGGCAGCAGCTGGGCCTGACTCACAAAAGCCAAAATAACATTTTAAGGCACAGACCAGAGACTGTCCCTTTCCTATCCCAAGGGTCTCACACTGAATCTTGCTCCCACTCCTGCAGCAGCAGGGGCACAGCCCACTGTCCCCTCCAGCAGGGAGGTGACACCTCCAGCTGTCCCAGGGCTGGGCTCACCTGGCCTGAGGATGTTCAGGCACACAAGGCTTTCTCTGGGCCCTGCTGGTGTGACAGGCAAGCCCAAAGGAAGT